TCTCATTGCTTACTTAATATGCACTGGGGAGAATCCACATGTGTGTGGCTCTAACAACAACAACAGCTTAAGCCTGCATTAGTACAGATTCCACCGGTACAACCAGTGGGGGACGCTTTGTAGTCATGAGCCTCAAAGGTTGTCCTTTACATATCTACCAAGGAAAAGGCTGAGTTCTTTTACGGTGCTGTAATGGGGGACCTAAGGGCGCAGTGCAGTGTGGCCAACACACGCGGCAGCCAATTGTGTATATGGCAATATGTAAACAAAGACACAAAGAAAACACACAAACAGCATGTTTTTTCAGCTTGTTTTTATGAAGCAAATGTTATTCGGGAATGTGTTTCCCACTTTGCCTGAGTTTTATTTCTTCTCTAAATGTTCCTTATGTGTTGTCAAGTTCAATTGCATTTATTTGCACGTTGTTGTCACGGACTTTCTCCACTGTAGCCAATTCAAAGAGCCAGTTATTGCTGACAGTTATTTGTAACTTTTATCAAAGCAGATGCTTTTTGTTTTCTTTCTTTGAGGGCTCAACATGGAAGAAGTTCCAGTGTGGACGCAGACATTTTTGAAAGACGCCCCAGATGTTTTTCACACTGTTGCGGGGTTTTTTTGTTTTCTTGATGCAGGCTTAATTGGAACAAACTCACCGTCCTCAGAATTCAGTTTGAGGAGGAATCAATGGCCGCGCTCGAGACGAGAAGAGGGTGTATACAACAATAAAAAGAGGTTGTATACAAAAATACATACCAAGCACTAAAGTAATAATCCAAACACGACACACAGTGTTTATCTGTGAGTGTGTGTAGTAAATAGCGTAAGAATCCCCCCGCCTTCCGCTGCAGACGGCTGAACCTCTAAGCAGATGAGCAACTTGTTCCGGCTAATGAAGAAAGCCTGGATTTAAGGCAAAGTGTGAGACTGAGGAAAAATCAAAGCTCGAAGCTCCATCAGGCGTTCATATTCATGATCCGGAGGCCTCTTCACCTTCAGGCTGATTACAGCCCTTCTGATCCCACAGCAGGAACCGCCACACTCCATTCCCAGTTTATCCCTGTGTGTCTGCGACCTCAATGTCAGCCGAGTTATCCGCGTTAGATAGAGAGACGATAGGGAGACGATAGGGAGACGATGGGGAGATGATAGGGAGACGATGGGGAGACGATGGGGAGACGATAGGGAGACGATGGGGAGACGATAGGGAGACGATGGGGAGACGATAGGGAGACGATAGGGAGACGATGGGGAGATGATAGGGAGACGATGGGGAGACGATGGGGAGACGATAGGGAGACGATGGGGAGACGATAGGGAGACGTGGGCCTTTGTGCCCTTCTGCCACTGACTGTCTGCAGGAGCTTGACTGGCTGCAAAAGTTTTTGAGGCCTTACACGTCACCAGGTTATCTTTAGTTTGTTTGCGACAGCTCTCTTCCACCTGGTGTAGTCTGTGCACATGCACCGCAGATACAAGAGAACAAAAACATGCTTTAAAGTCCTTTTCATGGTTCAGCGTGTTCACGGGAACCGTAAAATCGTTTGAGCTGCCATTAATGGGTCTGATAACCAGCATTTCTTCAGGAACAGCAACTGCTTTTCTTAACTCTTTTTGTTTTTGCCCAGCTAGTTTAGCGATAGTTATTAATCCTGTTCTCTTCTTCAGTTGGTTGTTTTAAAATACTGAAGCACATTTCATAACATTGTTACACCCTTCATTCTCTCCTGGTCCTGGCACAGTATTCCCACCATCCTCTGTACCATGACAGCAGTGTGTCTCCATGAGCACATTCTGCCGTGATGACTCACACACACACACACACACACACACAGCGTCTCAATGTTTCCATGTCAGACAGTGAATAATGTCTGACAATTCTTTCACTGTGTAACACTAGATGCTCCATTTTCAAAATAATCTACTCCTGCATTGTTTTAGTAACCTTGTTTGTTTGACTTCATCGGACATGATGTGTCGTCGTTATTGTCCACTCCGCAGAAAGTGACGTTTGTGGCAGTGAAGGAAAGATCAGTTACTAATTTATATAGTCAGTATTATATAGTCACCATGGGATAAAAAAGTAGATAAAGAAATATGCTTCAATATTTGCACCTGTCCAGACTTGGTATTGCGTCAGACACACGGTTGAATCATCTACTAGAGACAGATTATTGCATCCTTACATGTTGCAGTGTGATATTTTTGGCTGACTCAATGCCTCCTCTCCACCAGTTATCCAGTGAATATCTGAGGAGCTCAGGGGCCACATTTCTTCCCCTGATCGACATGAAGCATATCTCTGTTGTCTCGTCTCCATCTAGTGTTGAGCAGTGAAACTGCTTACTGCTCGGGGAATCCAAACAAATCAGTAAAACAAGCAGCGTCTCGTCTCATCTCAACAAAAGGGCAGAGTAACACTTCATGAATGATTGAGTGGGGCCATCGTTTTCTATATAAAGACACAAAGATTATTCACCTTGTGGACCTTACAGTGTGACTCTATGGGGCTGTTGAGAGCATATCAGCATTCTTTTTCCTTGTATATGTGGATGTAATTCGGTGGGTTCAGCCTCCTAGGTACAGAATGTCTGAAGGCAAAATTGTCATTCACTATTTTTTGTCGTATCAAGGAGCATTTCTGAGAAACTTGGTGCATGGGTTGAGCAAGAACCCATCCGATGTTGGAGTTAATCCAAAATCACAAGGCCGATACATTAGTTTAAGCTCACAGACGCATCCTTGGTGAAGTTCTGCCCTTCTTATTTGACACGTGATGTTACATAGATTTGCCATAGTCATGTTCTGTTAGAATTAAAAAGACATTCTTTGAAGTAAGCATTGTGTTTCTCAATAAACTTCCCTAAATGACTGATGTATATTACTTTGTTCAAGGTTTTTCCACAGTTCTGTTGTGTCAGGAAGCAATAATTCAGGTTTAACGGTCTTGTTTGTAAATGTCATGGGAACAAACAAAGTGACATATTGTCCACTGGTACCTTCACTCCCTTCACCTTCCATGCCGATGTCACAATAGCGCTGTGTGCGTGTGAGTGTGTGTGTAGCAGGGGGTGGGAACAGTATGCAGAGCATCAACATCACTCTGAAGGCTGACTCATCCCCATATATCATGCAAACACACACACACACATGTCTAGGAATCATTTCTCCCATGTATGCTTGTTGTCTTTTCCATCAGCTCTGCAGTGGAGGGTGTCGACAGTCTGATTAAAAGGTGCATCACGCCTGAATGTCAAAAATAAGGTAAATGCTCTGGTGAGCCACAGCTCAGAATAAGCGTTGACCATTTAAAGCATTTCTCTGCAGACGGACTCCACAGAGAATATGAATATGGATTCATATTTTTGTCATTTGGTCATTTTTTGTGATTTTACAACTGATAAGGCAGGGTGGCCGACCTGTGGCTCCCACCCCCTGTTAGAAAGGTCAGCGTTGTTATCACCATTAGCTGCTGGCTCAGACGTCGCCACGTAGAGAGCCATTCGGATCAGAAACAGTAATGCTCTGAAATTTTTATTGTGCATCTTTGTGTAACTGATTAATCAATGATCAATGAATCGTTATTGTGATGAACAGCGACCTTACATTTTTTTGTAAACGCCGTCTTGTGTTTAATGTTTAATAGCTTTTGTTGTCAAATCCAATCCATAAGTTCACAGTAAAAATAATTCAAACTTTACCAATCCTCCCATTCTGTCACTTACTTTTCTCTCATAAAGCTCGGCTTTGGTTCTCACTCTTATTTAACAGGTTTGACGTAGATTTAGTGTAAGAGAAAGCAGCAACTGATCGAGAAAGTCAACTCTTCTTATAATACTGGCAGCCCCACGTTCCCCCCGTGGAGTCTCTTGAGGTCCCAGACAAGTCAATGAACTGGCAGTGAAGTGAGTGGAAGTCTCTCTGTCTGCCAGAAAGGGAGGAAGAGGAGACATGCCGTCACTGAGCGCTGTCAGCTGCACTCGTCTTCCGCTGGTGAGTCAAGGTTCTCTGGTGATTCACGTCTGCAAACGACAGCCTCAAAGTAAAGCCACTCTCCCCCTTTATTTCTCACCACACATCCCCCTCTATTATTTAACTCCTCCTCTCCATTTATCTCTTTGTGAGTATAGTCCCTTTCCTTCCTGCCTGCTAATTGTTGTGGCACCACATAATTTATTTCCCGACCAAAGCCTGCAGTAGGTGTCCCCGGGCCAACTCTTTCCAGCGGCGTCTCAGGGTCCTCGTTGGGAGACCTCCGGGAGGTTCAAAAAAACCTCTTCACTCACCCTATTCCACCTGCGGGCCAGTGCAGCCCAACAGGGGATTTCAGCACACTGATGACGGGCCACAGTCTTCCTTCCTGAGCCCACATAAATCTGTCGTTGAGCCCTGTCCTATACTCTAATATTAAAGCTGTTTTCCATGACACGCTGCTCACTGGGAGGGCGGGGGCTGTTGTTGACATGAGCTGGTAAAGGGCCAGGAGGTAGAAAGTGTGGTTAGAATTGACGTTGCTTGATCTGGCTGACCTACAACTGGTAACAATCTGACATGCTAAAATGTCCTTCAATGAAGGAAGCAAACAAGTATGAATATATAACGCAACATCCACTACATGCAGTTTTCATACCCCTGCATGCTTATCACGTTTTAGCACAAACACTGTAATTGTTGACCCAGGCTTTTCATTTTACTGTGTCTAAAAAGCACCGTAAATATTTTTTTCCCCAGAAACACACAACAAGAATAGACTTGTGAGAACGTTTTTCAACTGAGTGAAGGACCTCTGTCATCTCAGAGTAGTAGAGACTACTGACCTCAGGCTATGATCAAACACACACACACACACACACGCACACACACACACACACACACAGACACTCACACACGGATAAGAATGCACACTAAAGCTCGTGGCGTGCTTGTGCAATGTCGAAGGCCTCAGTCGGAACCACGGCAGTTAGAGGCCAGCCTTGCTGTTATGAAAGGAAGCATGATGGGTGTCGTATCATTTCAACATTTAATTTGAAAAACTATGTACCAACTCTTTACAAACATTACAACGTATGCAATACGTAGTATAATAAATACACAATCAAATCTTTGTCCCATTTTCTCAAGATTAAGCCACTGTTTGATAGAAAACACATAGGACAGTTACATAACAGTGTGGAACATTGTCCCATTTGTGGTCTTTGTGGTTTTACGCTTATGTTTCATTTTAATATCACGTTACACCATTTCCGCTTCTGCAGACGTCCAAATAATCACAATGAGACAATCGGAATACAATTCCGTAGGTGAATTATCCACAGAACACAGTAACACATTCTTAATAATATTTAACATTTTTTAAATGCCAGGTCAAAATACATTTAGCAACATATACAACATTCTGCAGTCTGGATTGCCATTGCACTTTTATTTATTGCTGTTAAATACATCACAATGTCTCTGTTCTGAAATAAGAGCCTGTAATACTGAACACAAAAGCCTTTTACTCCTTGAGGTCATTCAGCAGTTCACTGGAAGGATCAGCTTCAATCAGCGTTTAAATTGGGGGGGCGCCCCAAGTCACAGTATGTCAGAGCCCAGAGAGAGGCTGGTCTCCGGGTAGCTCACCTGCCAGGGAATTCCCAGAGCAGGAGGCGGAGGCTCCACAAAGGCGTCCATGTATTTCTGCGCGCAGGAGGCCCACACGCCCTGCTGGTACCCCAACCCCTCAACCACCTGGGGGTACTGCACCGGGCTGGGCGGATGGTCGTGGGGGCTGCCACAGTGTCCATAGGGGGCGTAGAGCTGTCCCTCGTTGGGATAACAAGGGTAGTGTGGAGACGGGGGACACGATGACGCGGCGTTATCCATGTAGACGTGCGGCTCAGTGGGCACCCGGTGGACGTGGGGCCCTTGTTGTTGCTGCATCTGGTGAGAGATGGACACGTGCCAGGCGCCATAGCTCTGGTGCTCCACGCAAGGCACCGCCGCCCTGGGGTGCTCTAGTCGAGACGCTCCCATCACAGCTGGCCCTGCAGATGACCTGTTGCACTCCCGGTGGGTGCAGGGCTTGCTCGGGGGGTTCGAGCTCAGGAATACAGAGAGGGCAGAGATGCGGTTGATGGCCCTCTGCAGCGTGGCGATCTTGGAGAGGCGTTTACCACTGAGGTCGTGGTTCAGAGTGACGCGCAGGGCGTTGAAGGCCTGGTTGTAGTCCATAATGCGCTTCCGCTCGCGGACGTTGGCTGCCATTCTTCGTGCCTTTGAGCGGACGGGGCGATTGCGCTTCTTGGTTTGGCCTTCCTCCAGGTCACTTGGGCTGCACGCGGAGCCTTCGCTGTCTTGGAAAGATGCCTTGGTACTTCTCTCGTCCTGCCCTTGGCACAGCACACCGAGCTCTAGCTCTTCCTCAGAGAACTCCGATCCTGAAACACTGCTGCAGCTCATTGTGTCAAAAACCCAGACACTGGGTGAGTGCGGGTAAAGTCTTTCTGCCTGTATTGTTGTTGCAGTAAAGAGGAACCGTTTGCAGACTACTCCACACACTGGCCGGGTGTTGCCCAGTTTGTTTTGTTGGGGCTGTCGGTATTTGCTGCTGCGCCGACAGCCCAGGTATTCTCCTCCTCTGACTCCTCAGTTGCCTCTTGATTACTTGTGCCTCGACAAGACAGGTTGGCCTGCTTTTAAAGCTCTTGGAGTCACATGGTACAGTCACCTATGAGGAACGGGGCACTCTCTCCTCCTCTCCAAGTTTATGGGTGCCCTACAGGCAAATGGCACCGTCATCACCTCTTCCACCCTCTCCTCCTCAGACTCTCCCTCACATCGCTTGCAGGCTCTTACAGAGGAGTTTTAGCATTTAACGTCAGTGTAAAATGCATGCAAAACATACTAATTATTTGGATAGCAGTTCTCACTTCCTTTAACACATTTATAGAGGATTTGATGCCACTGTTTTTTGGCTGCAGCAGTTGCATGTTTTTACTTGAGACTTTCCATGAAGCTGTGGGGTTTTGAACAAGTCGTGTGATCTAATCCCTGTCATTACAAACAAACAGTGTATTGTGCCAAGATGATTCATTTGGCTGCACACCACCATGTGTGCCCCTTACTTTGGACCATTGGTGCTACTCAGGTTATAAGTCTCAGGGACATTTTAGACAAATTAGGCATTTATCCCAGTGGCCAACTCCGTTATTCACGTTTCTCCTTTTCTCAGGTCTGGGAAGAGAGGAACCTTGTTATCTAGCGCAGGTTAGATTTGTCCCACCAATTAGTGTCCTCTCGAGTGGCGATCCTCAGCGCACTCTGTACCTCAGCGCTCAGGTTTAAGGGCCATGTAATTTAGAGTAGCTTCCCTGGAACCCATACTCATAAATCAGGGCCGAGCAGCACCTGAGGACAAGAGACCTAGACTTCAAAGAGGAGGGGAAATTAAGGGCAAATATTTCACAATTAAAACCTGCTGGCTGTTGATCTCGTATGTCCTTTTTATTTTTAAGATGTGGTTTGATTTTGATTAAAGTTAAACAGAATAAACTATTCCAGAAATTATATGGTAAATAATAGTCTTCATCAATATTACCCTTTATGGTACAAATTGCCACAGATTCCCTCAGAACAGTAACCTGTTCCCCCCTGAAAGATGTGTGGATAGTGAAGGTGAGGTGATTGCATTGAAACCCAGTTGGCCTTCTGACCAAGTGCAACAGGTCAGGTAACTAAAGGGTAACAGAAGTGTGGGCCCTGAGACACTGAACTGGGGGCCATTGAGGAGCATTGCTTCCTTCCTGTCCAATCAGTTTTATTGAATGTGTCAAACCTCGACCTTTAAAGCAATTACAGCCTTGAGTTTCAGCCTAAAAACACATTTGTTAAGTTCAGGCGGAAAGCTTTATGCCATATTATCCGTGAGATCCGATCAAAAGGGATGCCAGGACTATTCACTACTCACATAGATGTTTGGATATAAATATAGCTGCACATATGTATTCAAGAGCTGTGCTAATGGTTTCAATGGTGCCTTGCAAAAAATATTTTTTGCCATATAGTTTGTAAGTCAAACATTTTTGTTTTAAGTAGAGTAAAATATAGAATGATTTATTTGATTTATATTTTGTTGAAGCTTGAAGACATGGACTGTAAATCTGTTCTTAAGTCAACATTCCACACTGATTTCAGGTCTCAATGGTATTTTTACCATATTTTATTAAATTAAAAGGTAGTCACGAGCTCTAGTCCAAACCTGAAAGGGACGTCAGTCCAAGCTGCAGTTTTTTGTATCCAACATTTCTCACAGACACATAGAAACCTGAAAGACATACTCAGATCGCAAAGTTAGTAGTGCAAACTTTAATATCAAAACAGTAAGCATATCACTGTGTAGCGTTCTGTTGTTGGCGAGGATCAGCGGTTCAATCCTCGGCTCTGCTTGTCCGCATGTCGGTGTGTCATTGGGCAGAACACTTAACCTGTAGCTGTGACTACGGTGTGTGAATGTAAGTTACTGATGGGCAGGTGGCTCCTGTCATCAGGGTATGAATGGGTGTGAATGGGTGATTGATGACATGTAGGGTTAAAGAGCTTTGAGTGGTCAGGAGACTAAAAAATAGATGTACAGTCCATTTAACATTTAAAGACGCACTGGTGATAAAACACAATGATGTCAACATTCACCTTTATGGTTTTCACTCCCGCTCGACTAACAGCACCATAAATTTAATTTTTATAGGACCTTATATACAAAATCTAGTCTTTTGAGCATTTTTGTGATCCCATAAGGTATAACCGCTTCAACCACTGTGCTTACCACACCTCTAAATAACCCTGTTGATCTTGTGCATAGCTTAATAGTTAAAACAGTTTGAAATGTTCCGCCCAGGCCACTCAGCTCCAAGGAGAGAGTAAACTTTATCACTAGCTGTGATTTATGGCTTAAAAACATGTCAGATTTACTGCTCTGGTGTAAAGAGCATGAAGACTGCCTCGGACTCTCCCCGTCCATCCATTTTTGACAGGTGACAAGACACCAGTAATTATCAGCCGCCAAGAATAAATCACCAGATTTTATTACGCAGCTCGCCATGCCCTTGACAGAATAACCATTTTCAAGCAAAGGGAACCCGTCCAACGCCGCTGAACCTTAGATTTGTAAATCTCTGCTCAAGCCTCCATAATGACTGGTTGTTAGCCGGTTGTTATTAGAGGTCTGTGTGCCAAACGTTATAGATGTATATTTACAAAGGGGTAGTTAGGAGTAATAAGTGAGTAAGGTCCAGGTTTGCTAACCTTGGCTTTGCTGTGGTATGTTAATGCATGTTTTTGGTGTCTGAAAGGAATTTTCTCACCTCAATAAAAGTCTCTTGTCAAGGAAAGAAAAGAACACGGCTTGCGGTTATCACTGCCCCTCCGCTGTTTGTCACACAGCAATCCCTTAGGATAATGTCTGCAAAAATCAATGTTATCAACTGTACACATCCAATCTGGGGCCACTTTTATTGCAGTTATTTGATCTCTTTCATTGAAACTGTGTTGCTTGAAAAACAAAAATTCTAACTTCATTCTATTTTGATCTATGATCATTCTAGAAATACTACAGCACATAACCTCATCCTGTACAATTATTTGTGAAGGATATACTGTCCATGTTTGCTTGATAAAGTATGATTATTGATTTGGGGTTTGAGAATAACTTTGGCAAACAAGCATTTATGATACTTAAACTACTTTTCAGAGAGATGATCTAAAACGCCTTTTATGATTTTGAGCTCTGAAAACAGATTTCAAAAGTGAAGATGAGGCCATAAACACAGCAAGGCTGTGAAGGTGGACCCCTCAGCGTGATGACTTTGAACGTCTCATTTAGATACTCATTAGCAACTGTCTTTTTTTTGCCGTGTTTTATTGTTTACACTTTATTATGTTGTTCATTCTGTACACTTGGCATCTATCACACATCCTCCTCTAATGCTCTTTCTTCCTTAGCTTTCCCCCGGTGAATGATGTGAGGGACAGGGGGTGTACAGATTGTAGAGCCTGCTGAAAAAAGGATTGTTTTTATCCTACATAAAATGAATTTAGTTCATTTGAAAACTAAACAGTTTAACACTGGAGGAAAGTGGGCTCATTTAAATACTATTTGTTTGTCAATTATATGAACGATACCTGTAGCACAGTGCACATTTTGAAAATAGTTTAAAGGAATGATAGATTTTTTGTATTGGGGTTTTATGTGTATTTTTGGTGTTCTTTCACATTAAATTACTGTTTTTATGAACAGTGTTAGTTCCCCGTCTGAGAGCTGTTTGCAAACACGAGAGTGGCAGAAAAGGGCCAACTTAAAAATATAGTAGTATAAACAGCAGTATAAACTATAAGGATGTATATGTGGTTCATCGATAACAGCTTCATTATGCAGTTTTTCAAAGGGGTTTGGGAGTATAGCATATTGACACTAAAGTAGTTTATTTGAAAACTTAAAAAACACAACTGAAAAACTACAAGATGGTATTAAAAAAACATTAAAGTAGCAGTTAAAGTTAAAGTTAAAGTAGCAATAAAACTCAGTAAAAACTAGTCTGTTTCAGGTAAAAAGGTTTAAATATATTAAGAATACAAATCAGAATAATTTTTACGTTAATAAAGTTTATTTAAAATAATAAAGTAAAATAAGCTTTCAGGTTGTATAATGATATACCATATATCAAAGGATTACCTACACATTTACGCTGAAGCCGCATATTTGAATATTGTATTTGATAAATAATCAAATCATAAATCATAATCTTGCTCTGCAAAGTAAGTTCTATACATAAATATTTCTCTTTGAGAACTTACACCTACTTTCTACCACTTATCAAATGGCAGAATCAGCATTTATTCCCTATAGCGGCATGATGACTGACACTGTAAAAATCCAGGAGCTCGAGCCTCATCCGTCCGCACACGAGTGGAACACAAACTTCTTGATTAGTGACGACACGGTGAGAGAGTGTCTACATCAGTGATCTTGTCCAGCTTGTTAAAAACTAAACGTCTAAACAGCAGGCCGGCTGCCACGACTATTGTGAATCATTCCATCTGAAATTACTGGCAATTACGTGAATCTGGCTGCTAAAATCCCCCTCAGTGTGCACGCAGCTATAAAATCTCAGTTGTCAAGTAGAAACAGTGCCTCGGGTATCACGGCTCAAACATTGAAAGTGTCATTCACAGCGTCGGCTATTAATCATAGAGGTGTGTAGCTTATTCTGCAGCATTAGAGATGTTCCCAGTAGTTTAGTGATTTATGGAGGGGGTGTGGGGGACTAGTAAAGTTGGTTGTTACTGGTAAAGAAAAGAATATTGTCATTAAGGCTAATAAATGTCGTCATCTTTTTTCATAAAGCGGTTAATCATACATATGACCGGTTCAGTATCACAGGATACTTGCTGCCTGCAAAGCACACAATGTAACGTTTTTCATGAAATTCAATAAATGAACATTAATCAATATTTCATTTTATTTACATATTTGTTGTGTTTTAACCAAGCTCTGTTGTACTGGTAACCAGTTGATTAACAATACATGTTTGTTTCAGTTGAGGTCAAAAAGGAAAGCTGGTTGCCATGCAGAGAAAAAACAAATCAAATGTTTTGGTCACTAAAAAATCCTGT